TCGTTTGGGGATCTATGTTGCACACGGCGCACCAGGTCTCTGTATTCGGCTCTTGGTTCTGCACAAAACCTTCACTACTATAATCAAATCATATGGTTGTCTGGCTGTTGGTTCCTAGGAACTAAGTGGTCAGCCCCTCATACACCGTCGGGTGAAACTCCGGCGGGGAGTTCTCGCTTCTTTCCGCTTCCAAGCCGTGCTTAGAGATCCCTGATAGGCGCGGATCAACAACAAGAGATATTATTATTATGTCTTTTTTTTACTTTGATAACAGTAAAATTTTCAATAATATTAGCAATAATGAAGATACTAAAAAATGTTGTGCTTAGAATCGTGCTGAGAATAAAAAAAAATGGAAGAATTAAAAATATTTTGATAACTATTGTTTTGCCTACTTTCTTTCTCTACTTTCATTTTTCTTTCTTTCTTTTTTGTCCGATTTCTTTCACTTTTTTTCCATTTTTTTATTTCTACTTTCATTCCTTTTTCGACTTTGTCTATTTTTCATTCTTTTCTCTTTCATTTTTTTCTTAATTCTTTGGGTTTTCTTTATTTTTCTACTTTTTCAGTTCTCTTTCTCTTTCCTTAGCTTTATTTCTGTTCTTTTTTTTCTCAGATTTCTTTCTCTTTTCTTTCTTTTTTCTACTGCCTTTTTTCTTATTTCTATATTCATTCCCTTTTCTTTCTTTTTTCGTTTTTCAATTCTCTTATTCTGCTTTTTTTTTTCTTTTTCTCTTTTCTTTCTCTTTCTCTTTCCTTTAATGAGATTATTTTTTTCTTAGATTTCTTTCTTTTCTCTCTTTTTTCTATTTGTGTTTCTTTCTAGTTTTTCTAGTTTTTTCTTTTCTTTCTACTTATTTCTTTTACAGCTTTCATTCTCTTCTCTTTTTTCTCTTTTTCTAGTTTCATTCTCTTCTCTTTTTTTCTCTTTTTCTAACTTCTTTCGCTTTTCTTTCTTTTTCTACTTGATTTTTTTTCCATTTTTCTTCCTTTTACTAACTTTTCTTTCTCTTTCCACTTTTCCTTCGCGATATGTTCATATTTATATTCTATTTTTTTTTTATTTGTTCACCAGGACACAACACTAATCACTCATCTCGATGCATCCTTATTATGTATTTAGCAATTTTTATTTAAATTATCATTAAATATTTGATCTCAACATATACAGTTTTGTGCTATTGCAAAAATATTGAGGAGAGTGCTGGAGCATAAAGAAGACTTGTTGTCACTTGACTCCCATATTAAGTCAGCTAACAAAATTGGTGTGAATATTCAATAATAATAAAATTGGAGGAACTGAAAATTCGATAAAAAAAAAAATCGAACAATCTAAAGAGTCAACAGACTTTAAAAAATTCAGCAAGCTTCCCTCTACCTTTTCTATAAATACTCTTATGGTAATTGTTCTGATGAATTTTCCGCTATGGTACCTAGATTTTATGAATTTAAGTGCAATACTGTTCCAGTTCATTAGGTTCACTTACGCACAAATACCCTTGAGGAAGGCATTAATCTATTACTTCTCCCCCAACTATGGGTTAAATAGCAGGACAGACTGAGTTTTTTAACCTTGGTTGGCAAGCAGTCTATTGCAGAAAGAAATGGCAACCTACCGCGGGAAAAATATTCTGCCTCGTCAGTCATGTATCGAAAGAGACATGATCGTCCAAGCGTGTATCACGTATGGAATTTAACTGACTGACTAGATTGGCAGAAAGGTCTCATCATTTTACAGTTGAAATGGCTAGATGGAACCGTAAATTCTATGCTAACATTTTCTTCTATCGCACTTCTCGCTTGTGGAACTCTCTTCTGGCTTCTTGCTTTCCAGCCAACTTTGATCTTCAGAAATTTAGATGTAATATCAATCGTTATCTTTTGTTTTCTTAATTCTTGTTCTTTTACTGTCCTCTCGCCTTAATCGTAGTTTTTCTCATATTCTGTGACACTCAGTAACCCCTTTGTGTCCTACTGGCTTTATTGCCTTACTTGGGGTGACATGATTAAAAATTAAACGAAAAAAAAAGAAGAATAACAAAAAAAACCTGAAGTAGAGTTTCACAAAATTCTTCGTGCCGTCGAGACTTTCAACCCGAAGAATTTAAACTTTAAAAATACGCATGAAAAAATAAAAAATAAATTTTTAACACTTACTATTTACACAAAATGAAGTCAAACTGACTAAAGTGAAACTGTTATTTCGTTATGCAAAACTTTCCAAAGTCAGTCACGATCGATGTCTCTTGTAGCCTCACATCAGTCTCTACATTTAGTCTTTTTTCGTAAGTTTAGGTGAATTACGTGCTTATAACGAAAATGTCTTTTCAAAAATATATGTTGTCGGAAATCTTATTAAAAAATTTCAGAGGTTGAAGAACAATTTGTATGGATCGTCTTTCTGAATTTAAAAAAGAACAAAATACATCCTTGAGTTTAATACGGCCCACAGCAGTACCGCTATCCTTATGCAATTTTTTTTAAAGTTATACCATATTATTCATTAATATTTCAATGTCATACAAATAATTCACTAAAATATTTAATTTTTCACGATATGAAACAGTAGAAATGAACCGGATGTTTAGCCATTGCAGGTTTCTTTGGCGAATTTCCGTTTCAAAACTTATTTTCGAATTTTGGAGGAAAGATCCTAACTAGACTCACCCAGTAATATATTTTAAGGTGTTAATTAATCTACAATACCTTTTTGTTTGATATGACTTTATTATATTTCTATATATTAATAAACTATGAAAATAAAAAAAATATCTTTCATTAAAAATAAAGCGAGAAAGCTTTATAAAAAAACAGAAATACCAAAATCTAAACAAATTTTGTGAGAAAAACTGAGTGTATTCACAATCTATCTTGCTGTTTAAAATAAGTGTGTTTTTTTTTTGTTTATTTTTAAGCTGAATAAAAATTTCTGAAAACGTTTACTTGTATAAAATATGACTCCCATTTGTTCTCTTTAATTTTCGTTCAACATATCTCGTATTATCGCAAGAAAATACAGTATTCTTCGTGTAAGTTAATCCAAAGCTTTGATAGAAAACTTTTACGGAGCCCCTGGACATCACTCCACAGAGCCCAGTTTGGAAAACGCTGTCTTAAAGAATGAGCCAATTGGAGTAAAGTGCCATGCAGAGTTAAATTTTTCCCACTTGTGACGAATGCAGTTACCGATTTTTTTTGCATGCTAGTTAACATTCGTGTGAGTCAGCTGTTGGCTCACGCTGGCCAATAGAATCTTCCTGCCTATTGGTTGGCTCTCACTATGGCCAGTAGAAAATGGCTGCAAACTACATGAAAACTGCCGTAGAAGCACAAGATGTAACACATTGAAATAAATAACAGGGTTCGGATATATCTAAAGAGCACTGAGACCTCTAACGGATTTCTCCGTGTATTGGCTAGTGCCTTTGGTAAGAGCATAAATTTACTTTATATATCAGTTATGAGTAAATAGCTGAGTAATTTGAGATCTAGCCGCGTAAACAAGTCAGGATTTAGATGAAGAGAAGCCCAAGGATATTCCATTTATGATTCCCCCATTGTTTCTAGTAGAGGAAAATAGAAGTGTGTTAAATCTCTATAAAAGGCAGGATGTGTGTGTCTGTGCGTAACGAATGCACGGCCGCAATTTTCGACGGATTTGCACCAAAATTTACATGCACATGCTCCAAGTTAGCGCAAAGGCCAAGACCGACTCCGCATTTCCCAACTCCCATCGATAGTGGAAATAATCGATTTTTTCATGCTTCTACTGCAGTTTTCATGTAGTTTGCAGCCATTTTCTACTGGCCAGAGTGAGAGCCAACCAATAGCTGGCTGCCACGAATAGGCAGGAAGATTCTATTGGCCAGCGTGAGAGCCAACAGCTGACTGACACGAATGTTAAGTAGCATGCAAAAAAAAATCGGTAACTGCATTCGTCACAAGTGGGAAAAATTTAACTCTGCATGGCACTTTACTCCAGTTGTCTCATTCGCTTGCTTAAACTCAACGTTGATTCTGATTCCGCAGAACTGGGTTGGGTGTGAAAACGTATTTGTTGTTAACATTCTTTTTTCATTCGTTTTTTCCAGTTACGAGTCCTTTTTTAAAGCTGATCGTTTTGTGTTCATTTTGTTTAGTTCTTTTTTCGTAACAGATTTAATGTTTAGTATTGAGCTTAGAAGTGGGAGATAGGCAAGAAGTAAGGCATGTAGCAACATCAGCACGGCAAAGGGCACTCCTTTAAAGGCAAGGAAGGGCAAAAATAATTTAAGTCAAGTGATAGCCGTTGCTGTATGAGTCGAACGATTTTTGAATCAAGAACGAGCAACGCTGGGCAATGCTGCCAGTTAAACACTAAAAACCGAAGATGATGACAGGTGTTTAAAATTACTGAAGTGTTATTTAGAGTCTATAATGCGCTAGGACATCATATGTAAAATAGGTCTATGACAATGTCAAAAATATTATACACCTTGTCTGGAGTCCCCTAGATTTTGAGACCCTAGGTTTCAGCCTGATAAGCCTATAGGTAAATCCGGTACTTTCTGTAAAATAGTCCATTTTTGATGATAGGTTAGGACAGCGACTCCTAAAATGTTCACTTGTCAGTGATTCCGCAGCGGCGTCATTTGGAGCTATTACGGTCCTCTGCTCCACGACGGACATATATACAATTTTAGAGAGTTCTGATATTTTCTGACAAGCTACATTCCTTGCTCCGACCAGCTCCGACCTTTACAACTGGGACACGCTATGCCACGTACACAAGGATGAATCATCCTCATTTCCTTTCGTATTCCATTAGTAAGGAAGAAGTTTCAGTAGAACAATTTCTTTTTTAGAACATCTGCTTTGTAGAACAGCCTACCGGCAAGATGCTTTCCCAATCACTACAATCTTGACCAATTCAAGTCTAGGGTTAATCGTTATCTTTCCTGCATAGCCCCATGGACTTCACATCTTACCTTTTCTTACGTTCATACAACACCATAGGTGGGTTACGACCACATCACGTTGAAACACAGGTTCCCGTACGATCAGCGAAGTTAGGTAACGTCGAGTCTAGTCAGTACATAGATGGGTGACCGCTTGAGAATACCAGGCTTGGATGTGCGAGTGGTGTCATTGATAATTGCTCGAAATTATTAATCGGAGAGCCGTGTTCTAATTCCAGTTCGGTTCGTTATATTCACTTACGCACTAGTAGACTTGAAAAAGTCATGAATCCACCTTTTCTTCTCCCTAGCTATTGGTTAATTAGTAAGACTTGTATCATTAAAACCATTATTATATCTCACCCTCCCCACACACGCAAAAAATGGCGTACTTTTGATTTCGGCATTAAACAACTCATAAAAGTTATATAACAAAACTGGACCCGCCATGCCACGTGCACAAGGATGAATCATCCTCATTTCCCTTCGGATTCCATTAGTAAGGAAGAACTTTCACTCGGGCAATTTCTTTTTTTAGAACTTCTGCTTTGTGGAACAGACTCCCGGCAGGATTTTTTCCCAATCACAATGTTGACCTGTTTAAGTCTAAAGCTAACCCTTATATTTCTTGCATACCCCCATGAACTTCACAACTTGCCTTTTCTTACTCTCATACAACACCACACGGTCACCCTCTACCTTGATTGGTTGACTGATCTGTTTTTTTATGGCTTATCAACCTTTTTTTTAAGTTATTTAAAGTCAGAGAATATTTTTAGATCGGAATAACTTTTTGGGAGATAATAAAGATTTTAGTGATAAAAGTTTTATTAATTAACCCATAGCTGGGTGGAGAAGAGGTGGATTCATATATTTCCCAAGGGTATTTACGTGTACATGAATATTACAAACCCGACTGGAATTGGAACTCAGCTCTCAAATTAACAACTCGAGTTGTTAACCATCACCTCATCTACACATCCAATCCGACTGGAATTCGAACTTAGCCTTCCGACTTCTCATTCCGACCCGTTACCCATTATAACCACTCGCACATCCCAGCTTTACAGTATCTGGTATTCGCAAGAGGTCACCGACCAGGCTCGACGTTGCTTAACTTTGGTGATCTTATGAGAACCGGTGTTTCAACATGATATGGCCGTAAGCCTCGTCTACCGTGAGTAACTCTTTGGCCTTCTACTGTGTGAACATTGATATGAAAAAAATATCATTGCGACTAACAAAAAAAAAGTCGATTTGTTTATAATGTGCGGTTAGCTAAATGGTTATCGACACAGAATATGGAAACAGCGAATCGAGTTCAAATTTACGCTTAGTCTGTTGCAGTCACTTTCGCACAAATGATCTTTGACAATTATCCCCCCCACACACACACACATACACAGTTATATGCTAAGTAGCAGAATAAACGAGACTCTTTAGCCTTGGATGGTAGACAGTCAAGGAAAAGACAACTCCGACTTCAAAACGGTGGCGAGGTAAACAGGAAATCATTCCTCTATCTTTGCCATGAAGTCATGGTAATATAGAAAAGGAACCTGTGGAGAGCCATGATCGCTTACGTTCTGAAGCGACATATTGCAGTGAATATAAATAAAAAGTACAAGTTTACATTTCCAGTTACAAATTTCAAATTTGGTCAGATTACTGTTTCGGCTCTCCCAAAAACAGTTTCTTATTCAAATTTTAGTAAAAAAAAAAAAAAAAAAACTTATACCGTATATACTCGTGTATAAGTTGAATTCATGGTAGTGGGATACCGGAAAATTTTTATATGAATTTTAACCCCTCCAAAAAAAGTTACCCGTGTATTGTACAACCAGTCACAAAAAAATACATGATTTTTAACCTCTTCAAAAAGATAAAATAACAGCGTATAATGCGACCCCACTCAGATATATGCCATGCGTGATACACGCTGAGACGATCATGTATCTTTCGATATATGACTGACGAGGCAGATTTTTTTCCCGTAGGCTGCCATTTCTTTCTGCGACCAGTTGCCCTCCAAGAGAACCCGGTCTTTCCTAATATTTACCCATAGCTGGGTGGATAAGAAGAGGATTTATACTTTTTCTAAGGGCATTAGCACATAAGTGAATGTAATGGATTCGACTGGAATTCGAACTCGGCTGTCCGATTCCTCAATCGGAGCCGCTATCCATTACTCCACCATTTTTCTTTTTGGCGTAAAAAAATGATCATAAAAACTGCAGGATACTCGTGTATACACAGTATACAGTCTTTTTTATATACTCGCGATTCAAACTCAAATCTTGGAGATATATATATATATATAAGATCAGCTGTTTTAAAACGAACTGACAAAACGAATATCAAACTGAGAAGGTTAAATTCTAGGCATCTCGTCAAGATTAGCAAACCCGCTTACGGGTTTGCTTTTTTTTAGAAGATGATTGGGTTCATTATTCTTTACATGAGAATCACCGGGTTCGCTGTTCTAGACAGGAACATTTTGAAACTGTTTTCATATGCTGGCTTTAATTTATTAATTACGATATCCAGGAACCCTCAAGATGGATAGATCTACATTCACGGAAGTTGTGAATCCATTACTTTGGAAATATAGCTTACCAGGGATTGACTGGATGAAGAACAAATCACTGATTCGACGGGAATTCAAATGTGTATCATGTAATGCATTTATAAATTGGTGAAGTGCCTCTCTGGAAGGTTATGTGTGGAAGTGCCAAATGAAAGTCTGTTCACGGTACAAACGAAATGTAACAATAAAAAAGAAATTACAATAGTTCTGTAATGCAATTCCCATACAAAACAAGTTATTTTAAATGTTTTTTCGTTGAAAGTGAATAATATGTTATTTTAATTGTTCGTCTATCAATAAATGACTTCATTTATATTTCCAACGTTGCTTTTAATAAATAAAGCATATTTTGTCATGGGTTTGCTACTTCTTTACATGGCGATAATTGGGTTCGCTGTTCTTGACATGGAAATGTTCAGTTTACTAATTCTAGAATATACAGAATCTGTGGGGGCACCTCGAGGTGGTAAAATGGCTAAGCAAGCTTGTCTCGCTAGAACAATTACGATTGAGTAGTGAGTTCGATACTCACTGGGTGCCCCATACTTTCGGCCTTGTGCCACATCTGAGCTACGCTTGGAAAATCACTATAGGGCGCTCCGAGGCGGTGTAATGGTTAGCAAGCTTGTCTCGCTAGAACAATTACGATTGAGTAGTGAGTTCGATACTCGCTGGGTGCCCCATATTTTCGGCCTTGTGCCACATCTGAGCTACGCTTGGAAAATCACTTTTGGGCGCCCCGAGGCGGTGTAATGGTTAGCAAGCTTGTCTCGCTAGAGCAATTACGCCTGAGTAGTGAGTTCGATCCTCACTGGGTGCCCCATATTTTCGGCCTTGTGCCACATCTAGGCTACGCTTGGAAAATCACTATACAGAATTCGTGGTCTTAAATCCAACTTAGTTCACAGATTCAGCAATCGGGAAGGGTAGTCACTTCGACGTGGTGTAATGGTTAGCAAGGTTGACTCGATAAAATAACTACAAATGTAGTGAGTTCGATCGTCACTAGATGCCCCATACGCTTGACCTTATGCCACATCTAAGCTACGCTTCGAAAATTATCATATTCAACAACCGGAGATGATAAAAGCTATTCCTCTCCAAATAGCGTCTGTTTTTAAAATTTACGGATATGCACATATTACCATTAAAAAAGGTTTTATAATAATTATTGTTACTATTAAAAGAAAAGGAAAAGGAAATTTCATAATTATGTAAGGTGTATTAAAGCTTACCTGGTTTATCAACGTTCATTTCTTTTCAAGTTCGACACATGCGTCTGTTAGTTATATATATTGTAAATAGCCAGGAGACATTAACAGAGTTATGTCCCTTTTTTGTTCCGTCTCTGATACGTTTGTACGTAAGTAAAAAAACAAACGCACACAATATCCACAAAGTTTCAATAAAGCAATGGTTTATAAATAAACAGTTTAAGTAAATGAAAACATGTTATTCGTGTTACAACAGATACAATTACATATTTTCTGTGAGAATATAAGTTTATTTTTTAATCCTTTTGTCTCCGTTGGCTCTTCGTTTTTGTCAGTGCGTACAAGATACGAAAACATTCCACTACTTGCAGGCAGTCGATTTATGTTTGAAATGTGTATTTAAAAATAATGGCTTCTTTAGCTGGATTCACCTTTATTTTATAAAACCGTGTCTTTCCGGAAAATTACTCCTTGTTTCTGTAGGGCTAAAAATTAGTTTGTTTCTTTGAATATGTATTTTTTTTTCTTAGATACGCGGTCAATTCGTTTTTTTGTTTTGTTTTGTTTTGTTTTTCAACACAATCCGCAAATAATAATATCCCTTTTCGCTTTAGCTTACTATTTTTAAGTCGTTTTATTTGTTTCAATTTATTTCCAATAGACCGAAAACCCCACCTTGTTTACTTCTTCTGCATATATATATATATATAAAAACAAGCTAGTTCTCTGTTCCCCCTCTTTCTCTCTCAATATCCGTTTCTGTTTATCGCTATTTATCTTCTGTTCAAACACCACCCACTTTTGGGGCGGGGTCCTCAGACATTTCCGATAGATACTCCCCTTCTTCATTCTCCGCCCCCACCCTCATCTTTTTCACGTGTATTTTTTCCACGCCTAGCTTCTTTTTTTTTTTTTACTCGACTTTACACTCTGTTTCTGACTCTCTTTCTTTTTCTCCCTTATACTTTTTATACCTTTTAGTTTGTCCTTTCATCATTACAACAGTTTTTCGATATATTTTTTTTCTATTTCCTTCCTACTCATTGACACGGAAGAGCTCACCACTACTACTACTGTTGTTGTTGTTATATTTATAAGTGTTTTTTTTTTTTTATGAATGCGTGGTGTTGGTTGGGATAAGCATTTCTTACGAAAACCTTCTCATATTTCTTCTTCTATGTATCAAGTCCTTTCAGAACGTTGGCGATTATGGCTCGCCACAATTTCCTGCTCTTTGTAGATCTTAATAAATTTTGTCCTTTTGTTATCTCCCCTAAACCTTGTTCCGCCATCCGTTTGCTCAAACTCGCTATACTTTGTTTTTCTCTTTTATTCTCGTTTTCAATCTGTCCTGTGAATATCAAATTTTTCAAGCCCTCTTTCCTCAACATGCACAATTTAAAGGATAAAGAATCATTACTCAATTTCTTTTTCTAGTTTTCTTTCTTTCTTTTTCTCGGTGAATTCAAGTAGCGTCTCTGATATGTTTTGTATTTCCGCGCAATCAAAACGGAATAGTCCATTATTTATAAGGTGTCGGCAGGAGGATTTAGACACTATTAACTTTCTTTCTTTCTTTCTTTCTTTCTTTCTTTCTTTCTTTCTTTTCTTTTCTCGGTGAATCTAAGTAGCGTCTCTGATTATGTTTTGTATTTCCGCGCAATCAAAACGGAATAGTCTATTATTTATAAGGTGTCAAGGATTTATATTAACTTTCTTTCTTTCTTTCTTTTTCTTTTCTTTCTTTCTTTCTTTCTTTCTTTCTTTCTTTCTTTTCTTTCTCTTTTTCTCGTTCTACTTTCTTTTTAGCAACTTTATTTCTCTTTCTTTTTTCCCTTCGTATTATTTTTCTTTTCTCTTTCAACATTTATCTCTTTCTTTTTAAACATTGCATTCACTTTTATATTCCACTGCATATTTAATGTTTTACTTTTTATTTAAATTATCATTATATATTTTTTAATTACAATATATATTATCTAATTATATATATATATATATATGAAATGCGTATATTTCGGTAGCATATTTTCAATAAGACAAGTTTCGTTAAATAATTTAGACACGTTTTGTTTATTTATTCTCGATAGGATCCTTTCATATTCGCGGATAATCTTTTTTGTCCGGTTATTAAAAGAAAAACAGAAAACACCGTGTTGGCTCATACTTTATTTATTCTGAGTAGTTTCGACATAGCATAATGTCATCATCAGGTCATTGTTAATTATAGAGTAACTATTTAGTGTTCATGGATGTGAAGGACAAAAATTGTTGTGGTCATCCAAAAATTACCATTTTTATATGTGAAGTCAGGAACGCTGTGTCATGGCTTGGGTGACGGACACCATATAAGGAGAGTTAATT